CAAGTTTATCAAAAGCTTTTTCCATGTCAAGCTTTAGAATAAGATTACCCCCAAACACCTTTTTGTCAAGGAGATGGACAGCTTCTTGTGCCATGAGGACATGGTCATCTATGGATTTACCTTTTTGAAAAGCTGCTTGTTCCTTAGAGATAAGTTTGGGCAGAATTGTATTGAGTCTGTTTGCAAGCAGTTTGGTATTTATTTTGCTCATGAAAGTGGAGAGAGAAATTGGCCTATAATCTTCAAATCTCTTTGGGTTGTCAGTTTTAGGGATGAGGGTCAAAAAGGTGCTTCCATAGGCTCTTGGAATAGGTTGCCCCATGAAGAATTCTTGTGAGGCAGTGAGAACATCCTGTTTGATAGTTTCCCAGGTTGCTTTGAAGAAGTTTCCATTGAATCCATCAGGTCCACTTGCACTATTGCCATCTAAATCCCAAACAGCCTGTTTAACTTCATCCAGGGAGGGGATGGTACAGATTCTGAGGTTATCTTCTGAGGATATGATCATGGGGATGAGAGGAAGGATTGGTTCAAAGGAGGGTGGTTGGGACTGCTTGAAGCTGTTTTCAAAGAAGGAGATGGCTTCTGTCTTGATCTTTGAGGGGTTGCTAGTGCCTACTCCATTTGGTTTAATAATATGAGATATAGAGAGTTGCTTTCTCTTTCCTTTAACATATGCCTGAAAGAGTTTGGAGTTAGAGTCTCCCTTTTCCAGCCATCTGATGTTTGCTTTTTGCTTCCAATATTGGACCTCCAGATTTGTGGAATAAATCAAGGCTGCATTGGCTTTCTGCATTATTTCTCTATTTTCTTGTGAAGGATTAATCTCAAACTCCTTTTCCGCTTCCAAGGCTTTATCTTCTGCTTGTTGAAGTTGGGAGAAAATGTCTCCAAAAGTTTCCTTGTTCCAGGTTTTGAGGGCTGCTTTGAGGCTAGAGAGTTTATTTGCCAAACCTCTCATTCCTCCTATGGTGGGCATATTATCCCAAGTCTTTTGAACCATGGAATGGAAGGTGTCGTGCAGGGTCCAGGCATTAAGGAATCTTAAAGGCCTTGGTCCAGTAGGAGTGGTCTTACTACAGTGTACCAAAAGGGGTTTATGATCTGAGTTGAATTTGGACAGGTGCTTTAGGGAGACTTCATCATAATAAGCTAGAAGACAAAGATTAGTTAGGATTCTGTCTAGTCTCCTCCAAGTCCTTCCTTGGCTTCTAGTCCCAGACCAAGTGAACAAACCACCTTTTGGTTCCAGAGTGATCAAGTTACAGTTTGAGATGCATTCTGAAAAATCTTCCATACCTTGAGTGCTTGGGATGCATTTTCCTTTGAATTCAGTAAGGGATGCAATGGTGTTGAAGTCTCCCCCAATCATCCATTGGTGGTTGAGCTTGCTGTAATTCTGAAGATTGCTCCAAAGTTCTCTCCTGTCAGCTATAGAGTGGGCACCATAAACTGAGGATATAATGATAGTTGAGTTGGTGGCTGTGTGGGTGAAATGGCAGTGAGTGATTTGGTTTTCATCATGGTAAGAGGAAAGGATAAGGTGTTCATTGCTCCAGAAAATCCATCTCTTATTATTAGAGGAGCAAATAGCATTTGAAAAGCAAAGATGTAGTCTGAAACAGTCAAGTTGGCTGTTGGAGGTAATGGGTTCAATAACACAAAGGAACTGAAGATTATGTTTCCTCTTGAGGAATATTAGCCTGACAGGCATTCCAAAAAATGAGCTTCATAAGGGATGGTTGGGGGGTACAACCTTCCTAGTTTTGCTCCTGGTTGCATAACCAGTGAGACCAGGTGAGGGTTTAACAAACCCTGATTTCTGTAAAGGCATTGAGACTTTGGCGCACCGAGATAAGTCCATCTCCAAAGGAGCAATAGGGGATTGCTGAGGAGTGGGTTGGTCTCCCTCGGAGTGGTAGCACAAAGGTGTTGGAACACGGGTTTACGCCTTCGTCGTACTAAACTGTGTTCGTTTATGACAGGTTTTGATAATGCCAAACCGCCGCGACATATCGAAGCTAAAGTGAGCAAAACTAAGGCGAAGGAACATGGCATGATGACTAGAGAACCAAGAACCCAGAATCAAGAACGAAGAACTATAATTGTATTGAGTCGGTATTTATGTGATCAAGACCGGCACAAAATTCCAAATCTTGGCTCTCTAGGCTTAATTCATAAAAATCTCTTTTACATATTCAAAAATACCTTTCTTAAAGTTTAAACTTGGGTCAAAACACTTGGAGTTCACCCAAGCCAAAAACCAAGCCATCCGGCGTTCGGCTTTCGGTTTTCGGCATCGGTTTTTGGTGTCCGAACCAACCAAGTGGCTTTTAACTTTTTATAACTGGTTTTTACTTCTGGGAATATTTAAATGGTTCTCCAACAAAAACGCCTCAAAAACCACCTTCCGTTTTTGGTCGTTTAGTGAAAATCATGCAAAACGGCACGAACCTGGCTAGCCATGGTTTTCAACTAAATGACGTGGTTTTTAAGATGTTTTACTTGATTTCTTAGCAAAATGCAATAAACAAATGTTTTCTAAACTTGGTTTTTATTTTGGAGAACTTGCGTTTTTGACATCGGCTAACGGCGTGACTAAACCAACCATGGTCTGGCTAAACCAAGCCCAACAGCGATGTTGGGGTAATCAACAGCGCTGTCTGGCCTGGGTAACCAAAAACATGGTTTGGCGTTAAGTCTTCCAACAACGATGTTGGACTTTAGACATCGTTGTTGAGCCAAGGTTGGCTTCCCAGAAACTTCTGGAACAGCGATGTAGGCTCCCCTACAGCGCTGTCCAACCTAAGCCAAAAAAATAGTGCATTGGCAGAAAGTTTTTGGACAGCGATGTTGACCCAGCAACAGCGCTGTCAGGCCAAACTTCCATCTTCAAAAGTCAGACCTAAACAGCGATGTTCAAGTTATAGACATCGATGTAGGGACCTGACCGTTGGAAGGAATTTAAGGCTAAAACTTTCCTTGTTTGGAAGTCAACAACCAAAACAGCGATGTAGGGGTTTTTGGACATCGTTGTTGGCATGACCGTTGCTTCCCAATTTTTAAAAACCAAGCCTAGAACAGCGATGTCCAGGCCTAGGACAGCGCTGTCTAGGTGATTTTCAGCAGATCCAATTTTAATCAAATCCCACAAATTGTGCCAATCACCCCTTAAATGTTTTGGTCTGTTGGAGCCTATTTTTCCACTATAAAATGGGGTGTTTGGGTCTGTTTTACACATCACATTACTTCACAACTCCTACTCTTTCATTGCAAATCATCCTTCAATTTTTCATAGCTTTTGAGAGCCATTTTTGTGAAGCTTTGTGCTGTGTTCTTGAGCGTTATTAGTTTACTCATTATCCATTCTTAAAGAGAGTATTGTTCTTGAGTGTACTCGTGTTCTTAGACACGTTGAGAGATAGTATCTCTCTTGGTTGATTCAAAGGAAGGTCTGTTTCCTTTGAAGGATTCGTTGAGGTTCGTGTGACTCGAACTCTCAAGTTGTAACGGTTTGTTAAGCACCCGTAAGCTTAACGAGATAGTAGTGTAGCTCGAGAGAGTCTCTCGGGAGGCTGGATTAGCCACAAGTTGTGGTGAACCAGGGTAAAATCGGTGTGCCTCTTACTCTTCTCTTTACTTCTCGTTTATTCATTTTTTATTCCTGCGATTTTTGATCAAACGCTATTCACCCCCC